TGAATGAATGAATGAATGAATGAATGAATGAATGAATGAATGAATGAATGAATGAGGAAAAGAATGATCCATTTCTCAGATAAATGGAGAAAGGGAAGGTATTGATTATCTTACCAACTGGAATTGATGTTGCTGCTTGGAGCTGAGAATCTGGGTGATGGATTTGCTAAGGCAGTGATTAAAAGTCATTTCCGTTGTTCCATATTCCAGAAGTGAGGTAGTAGTTCAGTGCAACAATGGGTTGGCCAGAAACACAACAGGGCCTTTAGGGTGGAAGAAATTAATATGGTGGAAGGGAGCTGTGGTACATGCTCTTTTTTTCATCAGAATGTATCCATGTGGCTATGTAAGTGATTTCCTGACAGTTTTGAATCATGAAAGGGTAGATTGTGCCTCTGGACCAGGGCAAATCCAGCCTTGAGTCACAATACATTGGCTCTGGGCCTGGAAAGGGAGCCAGGCTGGGCCCGAAGGCTGCTCCTGTGGATCAGGATTGTTAGGAGTCTGTCAAAGAGGAGAAGGAGGCAAGGAGCATAAACAGGTGGTGACTAGTTCGGATGAAAAGAATCATCTTTCTCTGATGCACTGCTCTGTCCAAACTTAATGAGAATCCACTGGTTGCTATAACATTTCCCCAGTGTCAGCAGCTGAGCTAGCAAGAACTCCTGGCTCCCCTCCTTCCCGGTCTCCGCTAGGCCTCTGCTGAGAATTACCCTTCCCAATAAATCCCAACCATAATTCCCACCTCCTTTCCTGTTCCCAGCCATGCCACAGAGCCCCGCTTCTCGCTCCACTCTCCTCTCCTGAAATCCAATGGTTCCCATTACTGGGAAGCTTAATTATCTGCCCTGTTCCCATCCGCTCAATTAAGTTTTAATAACTTGCTTGCACTTTTGCCAGAGAGACACCCGCTGTTGGCACACACACACACACACACACCTCCAGTTCCCAGCACTGATGCAAATGTGTTCTGAAGCACATCGGCGAATGCCGATTTCTGCCTCTGTTTCCACATAAAGGGGCATCAAGGCCTCTGAGCTGCTTTTCCCTCAGGAACTGGGCCAGGAAGCTAGGTGTCCTGGCATCCTATTTCGTAACCATCTCGGCCCAGAATAAAGTCTCTCTTATTCCTCACGGCATTCTCCCTTGGCTGTTCTCCAGCAGCCCTCACGCAGCTCTTTCTCTTTCTGCTGGGCGCACATGGACCAGCCTTTGGCACTTTCAAACCTTAAGCAGCAGAATATTAAACCGGGCTCATCGTTAATCACCACAGTGATCACGGTGGCTCTGCAGCTCTTTCAGCCTGGCAGAGGCACAGCCTTTTCCCTCCTCCATGAGATCCCAGTAGGACTCCTTTTTTCCTGGGTGGGAAAACCCCTTCTGGGGTAGAATTTCTTTTTCTGGGGGGTCAGATAAATCAGGGTTCCTCAACCTCAGCCACTTTAAGATGGGTGGACTTCAACTCCCAGAATTCCCCA